ATTAAGACCTTACTAGATACCAGGCATTGTTGTAAGAAATTAGTATAAACCTGTATTAATATACATAAGTTATAAACTATAAAAATTTAAATAAATTACTATACATACTTTATCTTCACAATAACCCTGTGTGGTAAGCACTGATAGTATCGCCATTTTATAGATGGGGAAATTGAGGCACAGAACCATTAAAGAATCGACTTAATGGTTCTACCACGCTTAATTCTAGTACAGAGCCTGGTGAAGATTCAAGCCCAGCAGACTCTCTGGAGCCTGAGCTCCTCTCAGTCATGATCATTCTTATCAAAATACCGGTAAGAATTTATTTTGTGGGACCTTGACAAAGTGTATATTCATAAAAAGAAGCAGATGAGAAACTTTTAAAAGTTTTTTTTTTTAAGAATAATAAAACAATGGACTAACTCTACCAGATACTCAACCAAACTTTAAAGCTTTGATAGTTAAAAGTGTACTTTGTCACAAGGATGAGCAAACAGATTAAGGGAACAAGATCTAAAATTAGAAATGGGTCCTCTCCCATTGTGGGAACTCTTCTGTCCTCTTAATAAATCCTGCTTTAAAAAAAAGAAAGAAAGACATTTACATGAATGAAATATAAGATAGGAGAGGTTTTACAAAGCAATGGGGATATGGAAAGGTTAATTCAATAAACACTGCAGAAATTATTGACTAGCTTTTTTAGAAGTCAAACAGGAATTATAGTATCACCCAACAGATATACCAAAGTACATCTCAGATTAATTAAATATAATAAAAACATAAGTTACTTTTAAATATTTAAAATTTTAAAATAGTTTTCCTCTCCTAAATAAAAAATAATTCACTAACCATAGAAACAATGGAAGAAAGATAAATTCACTCAACTACACCACTCAACAAATATTTATTGAGCACATTTTGTGCACCAGGAACCAAGAAGCACATAAAATGAATTGCATTGTATTTTTTCTGAAATCATGAATAAAATTAAAAAGCAAATAATCAATGGGAAAATGTTTTTAGTAATTGTAACAATATATTGAGATCCTTAACAGAAAAATAGTTCATATTAATTCATAGAAAAAGGCCTAAAATCCTAACAAATAAATGAGAAAGGAGTACAAACAGACGATTTAAGAAAAGAAAAAGGTCAGGCATGGTGACCCAGCCTGTAATCCCAGCACTTTGGAAGGCTGAAGCTAGAGGATTACCTGAACTGGGGGTTCGAAACCTGCCTGAACCTGGGGGGTTCGAGACCAGCCTGGGCAACTTGGTGAGACCACGTCTCTACAATAAATCACACACACACAAACACACACACACACACACACACACACACACACACACACAAACACACACAAACTAGCCAGGCATGGTGGCGTGCCTCTGTAGTTCCAGCTACTTGGAAGGCTGAGGCCACTGCACTCCAGCCTGGGCAACAAGAGTGAGACGCCAACTCAAAAGAAAAAAAAAGAAAAGAAATACTTCAAAAATATTTGCTTAAAAAAAACAATATACAAATTCATTAAATAGAAAGAACCAAATTAAAACAAGTAGACATATGTAATTACCAGAATGAGATAAAATCTTTCAAATATTACTGTTTGGATCAATTCATAAAAAGCAATGTAGTTCTAGGGAACAAAGATTTTTTAAAACTTCACACTTTTGACAACTTAATTATATTCCCAGAAATCTATCCTAAAAGAATAATCAGAAATACTGGCAGAAGGGTTATATGAAAGGTTTCATCATAACACTACCTTTTATTTTAAAAAATTGTGGGAATGTGCAATCTATATAAGGATAGATACCGTTTTGGAGAATAATAGCACTTCTATATAATGCAATAGGAATACACTTCTATTTAATGATGTTTACAACAGCTCTGATGACATTAACACAATTAAGTGAAAAGAACAAATCATCAAACTGTACAATCTCTCAATCATCTAAAAAATATATTCAGAGAATTGATAAGAAGGAAGTATGCCACATATTTTGCTTAGGGCTTAAAATTATGAGTGATTTGTTCAAATTCTCTCTAAACTTTCAGTTATTAACACTAAAAGGTAGAATCAGAAAGGAGGGTTGTACCATGTGGTGATATTTTAAAGGAAAAAAATAGACGTGTCAAGTATTTTTCTTGCTAGCATACTCACTTTACTACTCCCTAATTCCTAGCTACAATATTTTATGTTGTTATTTGTGCTACAATTTTTGCTTAGTTACCATAGATGGCGTTATAAAAAGTAGTGGAAACATTTTTTCTGTGTTAGTAAAATAATAAAATCTCCTGAAAATGTGCAACCTGAAATGATTGCCAGAGCCATATGTAAACCTGAGTGCAGGGATGATTTCCCCTAGGAAGTCAGCTAAAAACTTGGCACTAATTTAAAGATGATTAAACAAAGTCGTACCAATCCCATTATTGTTAAACAGAATCAGACAAGGAGACACCTCATAGATATACATTTGATATGTGTTAACAATGTCTGTGGCCTAGAACAAGGAGGCTGCATTTTCCTCTGCGAACCCCCATTTATTCTTTGGCAGATACAGTTAAAGTCGTGGTCCACTAAGAGCACAGAAAATTCACCAAGAAGTGGAAAATTCCATCTTCCAGGTGTTTTATTTCACATAGAAGTTACAGACAGAATTTCTCCCTTTTCATTCAGTGTTCTGCCAAGGTAGAGATAACTTCAGTTTATCCGTTAAAATGGACTTTTTCTTCTTTCAAAAAAGGAAAGTCTCTGCCACCATTTCAACCAGGAAAGAAATCCTAATTCATGACTACCAGAATAATGTGTTTTTCTAAATCTATTTTGAAATTTTGCATAAAAACATTTGCAGAGGGAAACTGAGGGAAAACTGCCATCAATGAGAAGAGATAACTTGCAATAAGCCTTTTTTTTCCACTTTCAATCTACTGTTTTGGTGGCATTATAACCAATGGATGAAGGGAAGTGTTAGACAAATGTTATAGATGGAACAGCTGGAAACCAAACTCATCAAACTCTTGAAGACTAAGAAGCCTGCCTCTCGGCTGAAATGAGAGCAGAATGGACTCTGTCCACGGACGCAGTGGCAGAATCGTTCCAATCTATTTGGTCAATCTATGTCCAACAGCAGAGACCAGTGTCACTTCTTCTAACTGTCCCCTCTGCTCCCACTACCTTCTGGACTTGGCCTTGTAGCACCACTCAAGGGATACACAGCTATCAACACTATTTCACTATAAGTCTTATAACTGAAGCTTGCCCTCTTAACTTTCGGTTTTCTGACTCACGAGTAATTCTCTAGAAACACTGATCACAGAACCTAAAGTAAGGTGTGCAATTAAGGGGGGTGTTGTCTCTATTCAAATCAGGAGGAGACCCTCCCTATTTGCTTTCTGTATTTGCTAGGAATAAAGGGGTGGGAGCAGTGGCTGTGTGCACCCAAGATAACATTGAAATGTCCAAAAGCACAGGCTTGTTTCCTGGAGAACATGTAAAGGCTAGAGCCTGAAGTGTGTGTGTGTGTATGTTTGGCGGCCTTAAAATTCCCATTTGGGAGGGGGCTCAGTGGCTCAGCCTGTCATCCCAGCACTTTGGGAGGCCGAGGCGAGTGGATTGCCTGAGCCCCGGGGTTCAACACTCACCCAGGCAACTTGGTGAGACCTCGTCTCTACAATAAATAAAAAAATTAGCCGGGCGTGGTAGCATGCACCTGTAGTTCCAGCTACTTGGAAGGCTGAGGCGGAAGGATCGCTGGAGCCCAGCAGATCGAGGCTGCAGTGACCGGGAGCATGCCACTGCACTCCAGTCTGAGCAACAGACTCCAACTCAAAAAATAAATAAACTAAAATTCACATTTGGGAAGGTCTCACTAAAATGCCTCCGAATTCATGACCCTCAGGAAGCAACAGGTCAACCAACTCTCTAACAAAATTGAGTTGCACAGACAAAACACTCTTTCCCATAATCTCTCTTGCCTGTGATTATACAATTCCTGACATTTTGACCCACGGTTGTGAAAACTTTTCATGCAGTAGATAGGGTATGAGGTCTTCGAGGACTCTGAAGTGTCCTAGGGTAGACCCTACTTGTTACAAATGAAGAACCAGTGATCTACGAGGGCTTAGAAGTTTGCCCCTAAGTCACTCAGCGCAGGGTATATGACATACGGTGTTAGGAGCAGATCTTAAGCCTCTCAGTGATCAGGCCATGGTCTTTGGCCCAGCCTCTCGATGCCTGTGGACCAAGAGCCTGTCTCTAGGACTTGGATTCCTGCTCTCCACAGTGGGGACAATTTTGCCTGCCCTGCTTCTTCGTGTGGAAATACGGAAAGAGCGGCTGGAAGTCGAGGTGGGAGCCTCACCCTTGCTGTTTTCAGAGTATCTGTGGTTCAAGGAACTTGTACTTGTTCCTTAACTTATCTCTACTTTACTTGACTCGCCTAGAAAGGGGGAGGAGGAATAAGACCTGCCCTACCCATTGCAGATGAAAAATCGCTTATGAGCTGGGAAAAGAAAATGTGAAAAGTCCGGTTTGAGACGGAGAGTGGTGGGTGCTTCCTCGGGCCTATATGTATATAGGGTTATACATATTTATGTATATATAGCTTTATTTATTATAAAGATGTGGGTTACAAGTCAGGATTAGGTATGTAAGCGGTCTACGTGAAGGCGAGGCTTGGGCCTCCCACTGGTTCTTACTTCCCCTGGCTTAGGTTCAGGTACCCTTAGTGATGGTACATGCCTCTCCTGGCATCATCTTCCTGCTGCAGTATTGTGATCAATTTTCAGGATCCAATTATGATACATTCTGTGCGGTCAGCCAAAGTGGTCTCCCATCACGTTTCCATTGGTGGTGGACCCGGCAGCTTTTTCTCCAGACGCTGGTGCATTCAGGGCAGGCTAAGCAGGCATGAGGAAGGCTGGCACGGTCCGAAAGAGGGAGGCTTGTGTCCTCAGCCCGCCGTGCGCTGGGACCAACCAGGCCTGCACCGCTCGGCGGGACAAGTGCCTCTTGGGGCCGCTTCCCTCACAAATGAGAAAACAATACCCTTGAACCTGGAGTGAAACTGAACTATCTAAGGAAAACACTGTGAGCAAACACCGAGAGCCGAGGGAAACCGTCTGATTAGAAGAGCTCCCCTCGGGAGCACATAAGGTGCACACCCTCAGCAGCCGCAGGGCCAGCGGGCGGAGGCCATGTCCACCACCACCTGCCAAGTGGTGGGCTTCCTCCTGTCCCTCCTGGGGCTGGCAGGCTGCATAGCCGCCACGGGGATGGACATGTGGAGCACCCAGGACCTGTACGACAACCCGGTCACCTCCGTGTTCCAGTACGAAGGGCTCTGGAGGAGCTGTGTGAGGCAGAGCTCAGGGTTCACCGAGTGCAGGCCCTACTTCACCATCCTGGGCCTTCCAGGTAGGCACGGCAGCCCCGGGGCAGGACCAGTGGGGGGCGGGGAACGGTGTGGCTGAGCCACATTCCCGCCTCTGGGTGGGAGCCTGGCGGCTCTGGCTCAGAATGAAAAGGGCGAATGAGCAGAGAAGTTGGTGCCGTGTCCAATAAGGCAGTAATCATACAGGAGAAAATGGGAGAATGCATACTCAAGGCACAGGAGTTGCTAGTAAAGAAGGCTGGTCAGGCAAAGACCGGGTCTGTTGTCAGGGCACGCTCATGGCACTCAGCATAGACTAGTGTTTCTCAAGCAGAAAATACATGGTGTGCATATGTGCACATGGCTTGCTCCTGCCTGCACCTAGGTGAGAGAAGGGAAGAAAGATGGTGAAGGTTTTGTTATAGTTGGAAAAATTTATTGAGGGCTGACTTGATTTTATTTTGAGTTAAACTAAATTTGTCTTCAAAAAGTTGGGGTCCCTCTAGGCTCCATTAAATTATATATATATATATATATATATATATATACTTGCTCTGCGTTTGTATTGAGAACATCATCCTAAAAATCAATGTATATCAGAACGGAATTATATAATTATAATTATATTATTATAATGTCAGAATACAAATATAATTGCAAAGGTGACATCCATTTACCCCTGAAATAAAATAAGTTAACCCTGGCTCTTAAAAAAAGTCATTGCTTTTCATATGCATCACCATCACTTTGCATTATGGACATGATGGGTACTCTAGTTGAGTTTTTTTTTCAAAAGCAAACAAGAGAATAATCGATGGCTTCAAGGGGTGGCCAAGACGTGAGTGTGGCAGGGAAAGGAGAACAGTGTTAGGGTTTCATCCCTCTGAAAAAAACATACCCGGGGAACAGGTCGATGCAAATACATTTGCAAGAAATTGTCAAGAGGCTGTGGAGCCCTTGAAAGTGAATTGTGAAAAGCAATTCAACTCATTTGATTTCCTTTTCAGAAAGAAACGGAAGGTGGGTTTCAGAGTAGAAGAACTGGGTTATTTAGTCCAGTTTTGAAGCCACTCGTTGCAGGAACGCCACGATCACTGACCCCATGGAAAGACCCTCCTAGGAGAGCAAGGGAAGTGGACCGTGGCCAGAGGACAGAGAACCCGACTGAGGAGGGATGGCTATGGTGGGAAGGGAGCAACCAGAGGGAAGAAGTGCCAGGAACAGAACGCTGACTCGCTAGCCACGCCTAATTTTAGCCGTTCTACAGAGAAAAAAGATCGGCTTCACATTCAAAATTAAGGCAGGGCCTTCCACGACTCCCTGCCCAATGACCACTCCCCAGGGCCACGCCACATGTAATCAACCCCTTGATTATTGCTCCCACACGTGGGGTTCCCAGAGTTCCGCCCCCTCGAATGGACCAGCCCGTTGCCTCCAACCTGACTTACTACTCCAGTTCTACCAAGAGAGTCCACCTCCATGGCCCCTCTGAGCACGTCTCCCCCTCTCCCCTTGACAGTTCTGCTCTCTGCAGAACCAAATCCCCTTGGCTTTCCTGCCAAGGCCGACCTCTCCATCAGGGCTCTGCAGCCCTCACGCCATCCCATCTGGGACCACATCCTGCGGGTCAGCCCTTCTCCTTCCTGCCTCTTTTATCTCATGTCACTGACGCATCTGCCCTGCTTTCCTGGAAAATCTTCTCTTGATCCTGATCATTGTCAAGTTCGGTTTCTCTCCTGGGTGGCTGGCAACCAACTTAAAGGACGACAGGTTCCCACTCCCCTCTTAAAATTTCTCTGTGTGGTGTCTATCCTTCAGCTCTCGAGAGTGTTTGCTTTTCCGGCCATGGCGGAGGACCGGGGGAGTGTTTCAATGACCAGCTCCCAGCTGTCAGTGCTCATCTTCGTAGACCTTCCAGAACCCAGACGTGTTCCACGGCTCCCCTTCCAGCTTAATTAGGTGCAGACATAACAGCCTGACACCAAGTCTTCCTTCAAGACCCCCCTCCTCTGCCTTCTCTGACCCATCTCTTCCTCATCCTCTTCCTCCAACCTATCCTTTTAGTATTTTCGGAACTTGGTCCTGGGCAGCCATGGCCCTCACTCCCCTAAGTGTTCCCTTCTACCCCCGAACTGCCCTCTCCACAAATCTTCCCTGAAACCTCCTCAAGCCCCCAAATTGAGCAGATCCCACAAATCTCTGCACCAAGCCAGAGCATTCTCACAGCACTGAGCATATTCGGTTCTCAAGACGCAACACTGCTCACAATCTGAGAAGCATTTCTTGCATACCTTCAAAGAGTACACAAGGCAAAACTGGCCTTGTTGGCACCTGTCAACTCCTGTGAAAGGTACGGGCTGATGTGTAAATATCAAAGGAAAGGCAGTACGTGCCATGGGGCTTTGACACAGGTGCTTGGCGCACCAGGAGGAAAGTGGTGATTCCATGGGAAGAATCAAGACGGGAGGGAATGAGTATGGCTTCATTAAGGAGGTTCTGTTGGAGTGTGAACCTTAGCTTATTCACTTGGCTATCTTTACTTGTCTTTTCAGCTTCTGTGCTGCAGCTCTCGTCAGCTAGATAAGAATTATTTCCCCAATTCCCAGGGTAGGGCTTGGTAGAGTAAGTATGCGTCAAAGGGTTGATAAACTAAGTTAGACCGAATAATGAGTGTTTATGCGAGCCATGTGAACTAAAAACAGGTCACGGGTTTCCTCAAAAAATGGTAGTAGATTGCCTTTGTACTGCAATTTGGGCTATCATGGCTCCATATGTAGAAAAGGACCTGGTACTCCTCCTGACTGGACCAGATTCATTTGTTCATGCAGTCATGGATTCAGCAAGTATCTTTTGCATGCCTGCTATGTTACAGGAGCTGGAGTTTCAGGGACTGTATTAGTCAGGGCAGCTAATGTCAGCTGCTGCAACAAACAGACTTGAACATCTCAGTGGCTTCACACAGCACAAGTTTACATCTTAGCCACATAAAATTCACTGTGGGACGGGCAGCCTTCTTGTAGCTACCATGTGTAGAGTTGTGGCGGCAAGAGAAGAAAGACTTGAGGAGGCACATCAGCTCTTAACTACCTCAGCCTGGAAGTGATGCATGTCACTCACGGCACACTGGCCGGGACCAGCCATATGACGCTGGGGGCCAAGAGATGTAAGATCAAACGGTTATTTGCTGACTACCTATGGCCCTGTCATGGGAATTATTTGAATAGCAACTGCCTGGACTGAACATATCAACCACACTGACCTCAGTTCAGCTAGACAGATAATTCCTTGAACATCAAATTGTCAAAACCAATGAGAGTGCAAAAGATGGTGATGATGATGATTTTTCTGTTTTTTATTTTTTTTGAGTTGGAGTCTCACTCTGTCACCCAGACTGGAGTGCAGTGGCCACTCCCGGCCACCGCAGCCTCGACCTGCTGGGCTCCGGCCATCCTTCCACCTCAGCCTTCCAAGTAGCTGGAACTACAGGTGCGCGCTGCCACATCCGGCTAATTTTTTTTTTTATTGTAGAGATCTCGCTAAGTTGCCCAGGTGGGTCTCGAACCTGCGGGCTCAGGCAGTCCACTCACCTCAGCCTCCCAAAGGCACAGGATTACAGGCTGAGCCACCGAGCCCGGCTGATTTTTCTCTTAATTTTTGAGTTGAGGTCTCACTCTGCTGCCCAGGCTGGAGTGCAGTGGCACCATCATGGCTCATGGCAGCCTCAACATCCTGGGCTCAGTATAAGCAAGAGAAAAATGATATTCATTTTTCAGACAAATATTACTGGATTCCTCTATGTGTACAATACTGTCTGATGCAAGATAAGACATAGTGGGTGGCTTCAGAGCCAGAGGTTTGGGTGGAGGTGGTCTGGAATCAGGAAGGAGGTAGGGTTTGAGGTGAGTTTCTGCGGTGTAAAAATTCCCTGGCACTTAATATCAGAGGAATGTAAATACGGTCATGGAAATTAGGACAATTTTTACAACAAGTAAGGAGAAAGAAAGGAGACATGAGGGAGGGAAGGAGGTGGAGAGGTAGAGTGGGAGATTTGGCGATGCTGGCTCCTTTTTTTCCATGACAGGCCAGGCAGAGAGTTCTTAGAGAGAAACTGTAGTTGCCACCCAAAGAGCCCTGAGATGTTTCAGACCCACAAAGGGAGAGGTCTTGGGCTCTCTGAGAAGGGTTTTGGGTCAGCTGAGAGGAAGGATGTCCTGGAATCGTGTTTGGAGGACGGCAAATGTGAATGTCAGGTCCTGCAGGAATGTGCTTGGGGCTCTTGGAAACTCTCAGTCTTATCCCTGTCAGTGAACTTGGGTCCACAGGATCCTGATACGGCTGTCTTGCATCTCCCATAACACCCACCATGGCCCACAGCAGGCCCAGAGCAGAGGGTTGGAGCAGGGGAGAGTGGGTGCCGCTGTGTCCTGTCTCCCAGTGGTGTTGTGAAAAGTCAAGCAGGGCTGAGCCGGCAGAGGGACTGGAGGAGAGGTCCCAGCAGCCACCACAGGGGTGGACCCCGGTTCTGCCTATCTGAGTCGAGGGAACAGGCTTCTACCAGAAGTCGGGGAAATCATTGCTTGGGATTGAGTCTGAGGAAAATGTAGTACTTTGAATCACTGATCATTCGTGGCCTTGGAGAACAGTGTGTGTGTTTCAGAGCAGCCGGTCCTTGTACAGCCTGAGTGGCTACACTCTAAATTGGCATCCCAAAATACAAATATTTGATACCTTCAAGTTGGCCAGCTGAAGTAAGGAATGGGCAGGAAGCTTACCGGGAAGAAAAGGCTTGAAAGAAATTCAAACGCAAAAGGCAGCAATGTAAGGAGATAGGGAAGCCAGAGAAGACACTTGTGGGGCACCCAAGGAGCTGGAAGGAGTCACATTAACCAGCCAGGACCTGACGCCTAACCTGCCTGATGTATTTTCTTAAGCATGGCAAGGAACCTAGGAAAGAGATTCCTGAGCAAAGGAGGTGAATGAAATGCTTGGGGGTAGAAATGTAAGTTTGCAGGGGGATGATGCAGAGACTTTAATTTTGACCTAG